GCCGCCCCGCCGATCAGCGCTGCCGCTGGCCAGGCCGACGGTCCGCGGCCGCCCCGTCGCTTGCCGGGGCCCTACCTGCAGGGAAGAAAGGTATACCCCCCAAAAGGGCTTCGATCGAAAACGAGGAGGGCGGGTATCGAGGGTGTGGGAAATACTCGTTATTGGGCGAACAGTCTTAAAATGATTGTAGTTGCTGTTGTTGTTGTTGTTGTTGCTGTTGGTGTTGATGCTGCTGCTGCTGCTGTTGTTGTTGTTGTCGTCGTATGTGTTGTTATTGTTGTTGTTGTTGGTGGTGGTGGTGCTGTTGTTGTTGTTGTTGTTGTTGATGTTGATGTTGATGTTGATGTTGTTGTTGTTGTTGTTGTTGTTATTGTTGAACATTTATTAATTCTAAAGAATAATTATTGTTGGGGCCCCTGGTGCACGGCCCCCCTGCGCCGCCTAGGCCGCAGCTACATTTTCATCATTTTCGTGAGGAAGCCTCAGGTAATTCGATGTGATCAAGATCCGGTTGTTTTGTTCCCCCCCGCTTTCCCTTGCAAAAAACACTATAAAATGACATTTCTTGTTCTAATATAATCAAATTTCAAGAATCCTTTGCAAAAAATAAGGTAAAGTGGACATTCGCGCGCGCAAGACGAAATCCTTCCAAAACCTTAGTGTTCGTAACGATTTCAACATAAAAACATCAAAAAACCAATGGTTTTTTTTTTTTTTAAAAAAAAATGTCACAATTTCATCCCGCGCGCTCTTGCGGATTTGCAGGAAACCCAACTTTTTTAAACATTTCTGTCAAACGGGCTTTTGCGATCAACTTCTTCACGTGCTTCGAACTTCTCCAACAACGGTTGCGCACCTGCCAGGGCCATCATCCCTGTCAAATAATACCATGCGGGACACATTCGTTTTTTCTTTCCGTGCGCACGCCGAAATCTTCAAAAACCATTGGGTTTCGTAGGAATTTTAGCACCGCGCAACATAAAATCATTTTTCGCACCGTAGGCCCTTCAAATCGTCGTCGTCGTATACTCAGCTAGTTTCCACAAGATGTTACCACAAGAAGTCATTGAAACCATGCGCCAGTGTAGTAGCCACGGTCGTCCGCATGCCACGAAGTGAAGTGTCCGAACGTCATAGGGCGGGAAGCTGGGTGTGGGTGGTGGCGAAGAGTCGTTTGGAAATTTGGTAGAGCTTGAACCGGCCCCCCCACAAAGTGGGGGTATTGCCCGCCTCCTATGAAAACCCTGGCACTGGTGAGAACGGAGTGTCCCCACGTGCTAGTAATTGTTGTTGTTGTTGTTGTTGTTGTTGTTGTTGTTGTTGTTGTTGTTGTTGTTGTTGTTGTTGAACATTATTTCTTCTAAAGAATAATTATTGTTGGGACCCCTGGTGCGCGCCCCCCCGCCGCGCCTAGGCCGCAGCCACGTTTTCATCATTTTCGTGAGGAAGCCTCAGGCAAAACGATGTGGTCCAGATCCGGTTGTTTTGTTGTCCCCCGCTTTCCCTTGCAAAAAACACTATAAAATGATATTTCTTGTTCTAACATAACCAAACTTCAAGAATCCCTTGCAAAAAATGACACAAAGTGCACATTCGCGCGCGCAAGACGAAATCCTTCCAAAACCTTAGTTTTCGTAGCGATTTTAACATAAAAACATCAAAAAACCAATGGTTTTTCAACAAAAAATGTGAAAATTCTCATCCCGCGCGCTCTTGCGGATTCGTAGGAAACCCAACACTTTTTAAACATTTCTGTCAAACGGGCTTTTGCGAGCAACTTTTTCGAACTTCTGCAACAACGGTTGCGCACCTGCCAGGGCCATCATCCCTGTCAAATAATACCATGCGGGACACATTCGTTTTTTCTTCGCGCGCGCACGCCGTCGTCGTCGGCCGCGGGGCCCTGAATAGTAGCCACGGTCGTCCGCGTGCCACGAAGTGGAGTGTCCGAACGTCATAGGGCGGGAAGCTGGGTGTGGGTGGTGGCGAAGAGTCGTTTTGAAATTTGGTAGAGCTTGAACCGGCCCCCCCACAAAGTGGGAGTATTGCCCGCCTCCTATGAAAACCCTGGCACTGGTGAGAACGGAGTGTCCCCACGTGCTAGTAATTGTTGTTGTTGTTGTTGTTGTTGTTGCTGCTGTTGTTGTTGTTGGTGTTGTTGTTGTTGTTGTTGGTGGTGGTGGTGTTGTTGTTGCTGCTGCTGTTGTTGTTGGTGATGGTGTTGGTGTTGGTGTTGGTGTTGTTGTTGGTGTTGTTGCTGTTGCTGCTGCTGTTGTTGTTGTTGTTGATGTTGGTGTTGTTGGTGTTGTTGTTGTTGTTGTTGTTGGTGGTGGTGGTGGTGGTGGTGGTGTTGTTGTTGTTGTTGTGTTTGTTCTTGTTGCTGTTGTTGTCGTCGTCGTTGTTGTTTTTGTTGTTGTTGATGCTTGTTTGTTGCCGTCGTCCCCCCCGCGACCCACCCCGCGACCCACCCCGCGACCCACACCGCGACCGACCCCGCGACCCACCCCGCGACCCACCCGCGACCCACCCCGCGACCGACCCGCGACCCACCCCGCGACCCACCCCGCGACCCACCCGCGACCACCTCGCGACCCACCCCGCGACCCATCCCGCGACCCACCCCACGACCCACCCGCGACCCACCCCGCGACCCACCCTGCGACCCACCCCGCGACCCACCCGCGACCCACCCCGCGACCCACCCGCGACCCACCCGCGACCCACCCGCGACCCAACCACGACCGATCCTATCAACGTTGGTTCAACTGAAAAACAATCGGCGCCTGCGGCGGGTGTCTCTAGACTGTCGCAGATTGGCGACGTCCCCGCCGCCCCCTCCCTCTAATCCGCATCTGCGGGGTGCTACGTTCTTATCCTCGGGCGCGCAACGGCCGTTACCTGAGCCAACCCCTTCTGGGTCACAGTAACGACCCCGTCCCGACGCGCCCCTCACCACCGTCACCTGCCCCCCACCCCCCCCGCCCCCCCCACCCACACTCTGGGGTAACGACCGTAACTGGAAATAAGTCAGAATGGACAGGGCGGGGCTGGTGTAGGGTGGAGGGGTCCAGGCGCCAGTTTTGAGCGGGGATCGTGGTCGTGGGTGGGGCGGGGGCAGCAGCCTTCCAAGAGGGCAGGGGAGTGCTTGGAAGCCCTCCTGGTCTCCTTCCCCAGCATGCCCCATCTCAGAGCGCCGCCCCACTCGCCCCACCCACCTGGGGCGCGCCACCAGGGACGTGATCGCTATCGTTTCTGTATGCTGGAGGGTCGGAGGGTTATATACCTCCGATCGATCTGCCGGGTGGGGAAGCAGGAAAACCAGGAGGGCCTGGAGAATTTGGACGACGTGCGGCGGCGACGGGGCGTTTTTCCCAACCCAAGGTAACGAAACCAGGCCGCCCGCCAGGGCCAGAACTGGCCCCCGACATCGGCTGCGGGTGCGGGTGGCTTTTCGCCGGAGTGACCTCTGGTGCGGGCCCGCAGGGGCCACCCCAGTATTGGCTTGCGCGCTCGGAGTTGGCCCCCGCGCGGCCCCAGCAAGCCGCGCACCAGAGGTCACTCCTTCCGTGCAGCCAGCGACAGGACCTCGAGGGCATGTCTATGACGGTGATCCAGAGGCGCAAATTCAAGGAGCTGGCCGACGCCGCGGGCGGCGCTGCCGCAGCGGGCGGTGGCGGCGGCGGGGGCTCCAGAGGCGGCGGCAAAGCCGGCTGCAAGAGCGGCAGCAAGGCACGGCAGCCACCGCCCTGGGGGGCAGCCGTGGTCTTTGACCCCCCCGTGATGGGGTTCGTCGGCCTCGACGCCCCTCGCAGCGGGCGAGGAACGCAGAAAATGAGTTCCCCCATCGGGGGCGCCTGCTCAAGGGCGGGCTGGGAAGCTCATGCCCCTGCGGAGGCACGTCGGATTATGAAACCTCCCAGCCGCCGTGGGGCCCGCGTCCTCGACGGCGGGAAACTCGTTCCCTCGTCCGCGGGCCCTCGAGAGGTGGGTCGATGCGATGCGCTCCCCTCCGGGGGGGATCAAGGAGCACAGCTCCCCTGGTCGCGGTTGGTCGGCAAGGGCGGCGGCAGGGTTGGCGGCGGGGCCTCCAGGGCCGGCGCTGCGCCCATCGGGGCGTCGCCTGCCAATGGCGAGGGGAGCTGGCGCAGAGGCCGGTCGGCATCCTCTCCCCGCCCGTCCTCGTCGTCGGCCGCCCTTGTCGTCGTCTCGTCTTGCGCATCCTCATCCTGGCTCCTCTCCCTCCCTCCTGCTGCTGCTGCTGCTCCTCCTCCTCCTCCTCCTCGTCCTTCCGTGCCCACTTTGGCAGGGGGATCCACGAGGGCCTCCGCAACTTTTGGCAAAAGGGACCCCACAAGGCAGCGGCAAGGGCGGCGGCAAGCGCGGGCGCTGAGGCCGTCGCCCCGCTTGCGCCGCCGCCCGCCGCCGACGCCCTGCCCGCCCGCGCGGCGCCGGGCTCGCCGGGGCGCCCCGCGCGGGGCGGCTCCCTCGGTGCTCGGCCCGGGGTGGGAGGATGAAAAGGTGCCGATACCGCTAAACCTTGCTCCTCTTCCTCCTCCTCCTCCTCCTCCTCCTCCTCCTCCTCCTCCTCCTCCGGCGCCCCGTTTTCGCCTTTTCGGGGGCGTCCTGGGAGGCACTCGTCGCCTCGGCTGGATTCGCTTCGAGATTCTGATCAGAACCCACTCCAGGGAGAGGTCCGCGGAGAAGCGGTATCGGCACCGTTTGGTTTCCCCATCCCCGGTGCGGGGCTCGGCCTCAGATCCTGGCGCCTCAGTTTTTTTCGAGCTGGGCGTTTTCGACGGCTGTCGGGCCCCGGAGTCCTCACAGATGGATCAAGTTCGAAAAGTGCAGCAGAAAGAGTGCGTCGGGGCCCCCAAGCGATGTTGTGACCACACTGCGAGGTGAGTCAGTGGGAATTTGGGGGCACCGCACGGTTTTGGGACGCGGGCCGTTCTCCGAGGACGTGTCGGGCGTCTGGGGCCTCCGATGTCCCAAGACCATGCGGTGACGGACCGCGCGATGAGGTCGTTGGGGAGCCCGAGGTCACCACGCGGTCTGTCACCACACGGTCTTGGGACCCCCACGTGCGGCGAGCTGTCCAGAGGAGCTTCGCTTGCCGCATGCTGTGTGGCCACGCGCGCCCTCTGGCGGCCGGGGGCCGGCCGCCCCGCGATGCCAAGCGGCCCTGGGCACGGGTCCCGCCGAGATGAGGCGGGCCTCTGCTAGCTATTCGCAGGAGCTCCGCAGTCAGCGTCACCGAGGCGGGTGCCCAGCTGCGAGTGTTTCGGCAGCCGGCAGGACGGCGGCAGAAGAGTGGCACTTTCGCGCAGCAGGATGCGGGAAAGTGGCAGGAAAGCGCCACTTGCACCAATCGACCCGTCAGGGTGGCGCTGACGCGTGCCGCGGTGTGAGCGCCGGGCGCGCCCCCGGCGGCGTCTGGCAAGGCGCGGCCGGCGCCGATCCCCGCGGCTACGCCGCGAGCTCTCGGGGCCGCCCCCGAGCCCCAGTCCAGCACCCACTCAGAGCCACGGCGGGCGGGTTGTCTTGCGTTTTGCCCGTGGGAGGCCAGTATGGGGCGGGGCGGAACTTCGGTAGAACGGCAATGTCCGGAGCCCCCAAATGTCACGGCGACGACCGCGGAAGACTTGGGATTCAGGATGCCGCGTGCCAGCGGGAGCGACACGGCCCGGGTACATGCAGCGAGGACCGCCACGAGATTCCAGAGGGCGCCGCGGCGCCCGAGCTCATTCTTAGTCTTTCGTTCAAGGGGTCCGCCACGTCGCCCCCCCTCCTTCCCCCTCCGCCGTACATCCGCCACAAGAAAAAACACAGACACCCTCCAATGGACCGTTCGTGGGCCTCAGGGGGAGGGTGGCGGTGTATAAATCACCACTGGGAGCCAGCGATTTGTGTATATACGTAGCACCCCGCAGATGAGGATAAGAGTGAGGGGGCGGTGGCGACGTCGGCAGTCTGCGAGACTCTGGAGAAGCTCGCCGCATGCGCCAAAGTTTCACAAATTCTAAAACGGGCCCACCGCAGGCGCCCATATTTTCTTTAAACCAAATGTGGACGGGGTGGGTCGCGGGGTGGGTCGCGGGGTGGGTCGCGCGGGTGGATCGCAAGGGGTCGCGGGTGAGTCGGGGGTGGGTCGCGCGGCGTGCCGCGGGGTGGGTCGCAGGTCGCGGGATGGGTCGCGAGGTGGGTCGCGGGGTGGGTCGCGGGTGGGTCGCGGGTGGGTCGCGGGGTGGGTCGCGGGATGGGTCGCGGGGTGGGTCGCGGGTGGGTCGCGGGGAGGGTCGCGGGGTGGGTCGCGGGGTGTGCCGCGGGGTGGGTCGCGGGGTGGGTCGCGGGTGGGTCGCGGGGGGGCGACGACAACACACAACACAAACAACAGCAGCAACAACAACAACAAACACCACCAACAACAGCAGCAGCGGAAACAACAACAACAACAACAACAACAACAACAACAACAACAACAACAACAACAACAACAACAACAACAACAACAACAACAATTACTAGCACGTGGGGACACTCCGTTCTCACCAGTGCCAGGGTTTTCATAGGAGGCGGGCAATACCCCCACTTTGTGGGGGGGCCGGTTCAAGCTCTACCAAATTTCCAAACGACTCTTCGCCACCACCCACACCCAGCTTCCCGCCCTATGACGTTCGGACACTTCACTTCGTGGCCTGCGGACGACCGTGGCTACTACACTGGCGCATGGGTACAGTGACTTGTTGTGGTAACATTTTCTGGACGCTAGCTTAGTATACGACTTTTCCCCCTGTTCCAACACTGGACACCTGTACTGGTTTTTGGTGGTAACGTGTTCCTGACGCTAGAATAGGAAACCACGGTAAACCAGTACGACGCCGGTACTGTCTGTAGGTCCAAAAGCCCGTTTGACAGAAATGTTTAAAAAGTGTTGGGTTTCCTACAAATCCGCAAGAGCGCGCGGGATGAAATTTTGACACTTTTTTTTTGAAAAACCATTGGTTTTTTTGATGTTTTTATGTTAAAATCGCTACGAACACTAAGGTTTTGGAAGGATTTCGTCTTGCGCGCGCGAATGTCAACTTTACCTTATTTTTTGCAAGGGATTCTTGAAGTTTGGTTATGTTAGAACAAGAAATGTCCACTTTGCCTTATTTTTTGCAAGGGGAAAACCGCCCGTAACAAAACAACCGGATCCGGACCAACCCGTTTTGCCGGAGACTTCCTCGCGAAAATGATGAAAACATGGCTGCGGCCTAGGCGCGGCGAGGGGGCCGCGCACCAGGGGCCCCAACAATAATTATTCTTTAGAAGTAATAATGTCCTTCAGATCCACATGGGGGTGGCGGAGGCGGGGGGGGCGATCAAACCGCCGCTGAGTGAGCCAAGGGGTGTTCAAAACACAACCAAACACGCTCAAAACACAACCAAACGCACGCGGCTGCACAACAATGCGCAACGTCCATGGATGCCGCTATGGAGGAGGGCCGCCACGCGAGACCACTTCGACGCAGCGGGTCTGTAGAATGGGCGCTTTGCAACAATATTTCGGTGCAATCACACAACAGCGTAACAAATATAACGACGCAGAGGTTTCGTACATTTACACAAGCGAACCGCCGCCAGAAGCCTGATCGGACCCCTTGGCGGTATCCCCAAGTCCACTGCGCCTGCAAGCATAAACCAGTTGCAAAATGACGACAGCAACGCATCGTTCCTGCAACGCACAACGTACCACAAATCCGGATCATCATGATTTCGGCATGTGCATATGTTTGTGCGTTTGCACTTTGCAAGCCCCCCGGAGGACGAGCCCCCCGAGGCATCCAAAGGCTTCCAGACATCCCCGACGACCCCCGAAGAGCCCAAGCAGACACCAGGGACCACAAAGGGTCTCCGAGGGCTGCCATGGACCTCCGAGGATCGCAAGGGGGATTCCCGGAGACCACCGAAAGCCGCCAGAGGCAGCCGAAGCCCCCCGAAACCCACCGGCCCCCAAGACGATCACCAGGACCGCGAGCCCTGGCGGCTTCCAAGGGCCCCGAGGACCCTGGAAAGGCTCGGGGCTTCCGAGAGCCTCCAGGGGCGGCCGACAACCTGCAGAGGCTTCGGACATGCGCCGAAGACCTCGCATGACTGCCAAGGACTCCAGGGACGGCCCTAGGAGGAGCGCTGGAGGCCTCCGACGGGGCCACGCCGAAGGGCTTCCCACCGGCGCTTCGGGGAGCCCGCCCTCCCCCGAGCAGCGGGCCCAGGGGGCAAGAGGAGCGGGCGCCGGCCAACCGCCGCCGCGACGACGACGACGACGAGGGGGAGGGGGGAGGAGAGGGACGGAGGGAGGGAAGGGGTGAGGCAGGAAGGGAAGGGGAGGGAAGGGGGGAGTGATGTAGGGAGGGATGGAGAGTCAAGGCGGGGAGGGAGAGGATGGAGTCAAGGCAGGGAGGGAGAGGGTGGACGGGGACCCTATCCTCGATTACCTCGAGAGGCAAGGAAGCGGGTCGGGGAGCCGAGGGCATTCCCAGGGACGTCGCGAAAAGGTCTTTTGAGAGAGCAACGGCCCATCAAGATGCTGTTGTGTAGTAGCGCTTTCTCATGGTAAGCTATATTGAGAGGAATTGAGAATATTTGAGAGATTTTGAGAGGAATTGAGAGAAATTGAGAGAAATTGAGATATAATATCCCGGGGGCGACCCAAATTGAGAGAAATTGAGACAGAAAGGTTCGCTTGGTGAGAAACTTTGAGACAAATTGAGACAACTAGTGCCGTCTGGTTCAGGACAATTGAGACCGCGTAGCCTGACTTGGCGAAGGCAGCTGAGCGTGTTCGATGGCAAACCGCATCGGAGATCCTCGCGGGGCCGCGGCCGCGCAGTGGCACCCGGACGCCATCCTCGCTTCTATCCCCTGCTCCTCTTCCCTCCTCTGCTGTCCACTCCTTCCTCCTCGCCCCCCATCCTTCCTCCCCCTCCCTCCTCCCCCCCGCCCCCCTCCTCCCCCCTCCTCCTCGCTCCTCCTGCCTCCCCCCGCCCCCTGGGCAACGACGACAGCAGTGAGAGACGATGCGCTTTGAACGCGAGGTGCAGCGATGACCCCGGCCTGCCCAGGTAGGGGCTTGGGGGGGGCAGCGGGGCGGGGGGGGGCGTGCGAGGGGCCTCGGACAGGGGGCCGAAGTACTCTCGTGAAAGGGCCCGCTAGCATGCGCCCGTCCCGCACCAGTCGCGAACGCCAGAAACATGAAGATAGCGGGGGCGGTGTCTAAACGAGCAGCAAGGTCAAACCGTGCGCCCCCGCGATGTTGTCTCATTACATCGTGTGCCATTCTAGCTACGAGGATTCAGACGCGGCCTTGCTCAGAGAACGCGTCGTCTAGAGTACGATGGGCCTTGACCTGGGATCAAGAAATCCGGGGCCCCGGCGCGACGTGGCCCCGCGCCCTCCAGTAGTGGCTGAAGAAGGTGGCACCCTTCCTGATTTAGGCGCGCTGCGCGACTCCATGCAATCCACTGCCAATTCTAAGGATCATTCGAGAGCGCGACCTTAATGGCGCATCACTTCGCGCGAGGACAAGGGCCATGCCAGACGACCGCTCCGGAACGCTAATGCGCGCGCGCCCCAAAGCTGTTCGCTTCGCCCGAGCACGAAGCCGGCCGTCGCGAAGCCCGCCCAATCACCTCACTGCAACATGGGCACCGCGACGGTGAAAAACTCGCGCGCAATGGGCACCCTCCGAGGAAGATAAAGATCATCTCGCGCCGGACGGCGCGCTCAACTTTCGCCCCCCCCGTCGACGCCACCCCCATGTGGATCTGCATGATAATGTTCAACAACAACAACAACAACAACAACAACAAACAGTTCAATGTTGTTCGCTCTCATCTGCTCGAATGCTCGTTAACGCGTATTTCTCAAACCGTGGATGCCCGCCCTCTTCGTCTTTGATCGTGGCCCTTTTGGGGTGTATACTTTTCTTCCCTGCAGGCCGAGCCGCGGCAAGCGGCGGGGCGGCCGCGGACCGTCGGCCTGGCCAGCGGCAGCGCTGATCGGCGGCAGCCCGACCCCAAGAGGGACGGACAGGGGACCGACCACGACGACGACGACGTCGACGTCGACGTCGACGACGACGACGACGACGGCGACGACTACGACGACGACGACGACGACGACGACGACGACGACGACGACGACGACGACGACGAGCGAGAGCGAGAGCGAGAGCGAGAGCGAGAGCGAGAGGGAACACGACAGCAGGGCCACGAAGGGCACGAAGTAGGCCACGAAGGGCGACAGCGGGGACGCGAAGGGAATGCGTATGGGGCCACGAAAAGCGCGAACGAGCGCGGGTTTACGAAGGGCGGATAATGCGGGGCCACAGGAGGCAACGACGGGGCCACTGATGGTAGCAACTGGGCCACGCAGGACAGTGAGGGGGCCACAAAGGGTGACAGCGGGGCCACGAAGGGCATGCACATGAGGCCACGACGGGCGCAAACGAGCGGGGGCCACGACAGGCATGCGTATATTGGGCCGCCGGGGGCTGCAGCGGGGCCACT